TGTGGGTGATGGCTGCTCCTCTGATAACTGTTATCCTGTCTTAAAATTCTATAATCTGAGCAATAAATTGTAAAATTCACCACCACCAACACACAATTAAATAATAATGAGGAAAAGAAGAGAAAAATTAGTTTAAAATAGTTAAATTACTGCATTTGGTTGAATCTAAGAATCAGTTGTAAAACAAACCATTATTTTGTATACCATTAAGGAAAATGATCCAATTAAATGATGACACACTGCTTCTCATCACCTATAATTTAGAGCTATTTTATATTTATTTAGACATAGATTTTTTATTTTACCTAACTTTTGTGCATACAAAATAATTAAAATACAAGAAAAATATATTGACTATGATACTCCTCAAAACTTCTTCATATTTATAGTCCTACTCTGAATTCCTCCCACATTGTTTTTCCAACAAAGAATATTTGCCCCACTGCTTTCTTTCCATGCTTTTCTTGCAAATACATCAACTTTTCATTTCAATGTGGAATTATAGTGTAATATTTTTAAGACATTTTAAAGGACAATTAAACTAAAATGGGTAGTATCAGAAATATCCATAACTCAGTTGAAGTGATAATAATATGAACAGCTATGACCAAGTAAGCATATGCACAGTCAATAGAAACTATATCATGAATGTTGCCTGGTTACCGGCAATAGCAAGGTGTTATTAATTGTAGGATGCAGCCCCATTTCACAGGTGTGAAAAAAATGAACATCTTAGAATTGATGAAATACAATAGTTAATATAAAATACACATGGCACAATAAGGAAGAAGATACAGATATATGTTATAATTCTTTTTTCTGGTGGTATATTTTACTTCTGTTCTCCAATAACCCTCTCATGGCTTAATCCAACACCCCAACTGTTGTTGTTATCATTTGTTTCTTTCTTCTTTTTACTTGGTAGGGTAAAATCTTCATTCTTAAGGGAATTGAGTCATTGGTCGTTCTACTAAGATAGCATTACTGTAGTGGCAATTGTTGTCTTTTTTCCTGTTTATGTAATGGGTCATTTTCCTCTAGCTACCCTTAATATTTTCTCTTTATCATTTATTTTCAATATTTTGATTATGACATACCATATTGTGGTTTTCTTTGTGTTTATCATCCTCAGGGTTTCTTGAAATTCATGGCTTTATGGGTTTATAGTTTTCATTGAATTTGGAAAAATTTTGGTTCTTATTTCTTCACACTCCCACTCCCTTTTTTCCCCTTGGGACTCTGATTACACATATGTTAGACTGTTTAATATTGTCCTACAGGGCACTGAGGTTTTGTTCATTTTTTCCTGACTTTACCTTTCTGTACTTCACTTAGGATAGTTTCTATTTCTAGGTCAAGTTCACTGATTATTTTCTTCTGTAGTGTGTAATATGCTATTAATCCTATCCTATGCACTTTTAATTTCAGATTTATTGAGTTTTCCAGTTCTAGAAGTTCCATTTAATTTTTAAAAATATTTTCCCTTTCTTTCCTCATAATGTTCATATTTTCCTTTAAATCTTTGACCATATTGGGTGTATTTATTATAGCTTGTTTAAGATTTTTGTCTGCTAACTCCATCATCTCTATAATTTCTGAACATGTTTCTATCGGTTGATTTTCCTCTTGGTTATAGGTCTCATTTTCCTGCTTATTCACATCTTGTAATTTTTTATTAGATGCTGGACAATGTGAATGTTACATTTTTGACAAGCTGGATTTTGTTTTTTTCCTTTAAAGAATGTTGAAGTTTGTTTGGGCAGGCAGCTGTTGGTGGGTTACCTTGATAATTTCGAGACTTGCTTTTAAGCCTATGCTCTGGGCTAGTTTAACCCTATTACTAAGGTGTCTCCTGACTGGGCTCTTTACTAAATGCCCTGTGTATTCAACAAGGTCCCTCATATCTGGCTTGTCAGAACTTAAACATCTCCCAACCCTTGAGAACTCTGGAAATTATTCATCTTACAGCTCTCCAACAGTTATTCTTCGTCTAGCCCTGTGGAGTTTCATCCTAAATATATTCAACTTAGTGTTCAGCTAAAGACCCAAGGGGACTCCAACAGATTTCTGGAGCTCTTTCTCTCTCCTGTACTTTGTCTCACAAATTGCAGTTGTCTTGCCCTTTTGTTTTCTCAGCTCATTAAGACTGCAATGTTCTACTTGGGTTCCCTCTCCCTCCCTATGCTGAGGTTCAGTAAATGCCTGCAGGTAGAAAGTCAGGGCAACTATAGAGTTTGCCTCATTTGTTTCCCTTCTCTCAGGGATCACCATCCTATACTGCCAGTTTGCCTAATGTCTCAAAACAGTTGTCTCATATAGTTGCTCCAGTTTTATAGTTGTTCATGGTAGAAGAGCTGGTCTGGTACCAGTTACTCCTTAATGGGGAAAGTGCAGTTTGTTTTTTTTTGTTGTGAGGAAGATCAGCCCTGAGCTAACATCCATGCCAATCCTCCTCTTTTTTGCTGAGGAAGACTGGCCCTGGGCTAACATCCATGCCCAGCTTCCTCCATTCTATATGGGATGCTGCCACAGCATGGCCTGACAGGCAGTGCGTTGGTGCGCGCCTGGGATCCAAACCCGGACCGCCAGCAGCAGAGCACTCACACTTAACTGCTATGCCACGGGGCCGGCCCCTCTTTTTTTTAACCATTCATTTTCTAACTTTTTGAGGTTGTTGCCTGACTCCTTAATTTTCAGCTTTTGCTGTTTGTTTTCTTTATTGTTTCCTTCATTTAAGGCTGTACTTTTCCCCATAAATATTGCCTTAGCTTTATCCCATAAGTTTTGATATGTATTATGGTTGTTATTGTTCAATTAAAATATTTTTAAATTTTCATTATGGTTCATTCTTTGTTTGGCCCATGGTTATTCCAAATAATATTTATTATGCTCTACAATTATGAGGGTTTTTTAAACACATATATTGCAAATAACTTCTCCTGGTGTGCGGCTTTTTACTTTCTTAGTCATATATTTTAACGAACAAAATTTCTTAGCTTTAGAGAAGTCCAATATACGAAAACTTTTTATGGCCAGTTCTTTTTGCGGCCTATTTAGGACAATTTTGCTTATGCCGGGACCATGAAGATATTCTCTCATGTTTTCTTCTAAAAGATTTATTGTTCTATTTTTCACATTTAGGCTTACGATACATCTTGTTATCTTTCATGAACATAAATGGAATTATACTGGTGCCTTTTTATAAATCAGGTGACTAGATATGATTTGGCCTATTTATAGACTCTATTCTGTTCCACTTATCTATATATTCTTGTGCCTTATTATTTAAAGATATTTTTTCACAGTACCCTTTCTAATTGTCTCTTAGTGCTTATGCTGCATTTCTTTTGTTTGTCCCTCCATAGCTACTTGCCCTTTTCCATCTTGCTCTTTGCTCAGGGAAGCTGCCCTGAATGGATTACATTAACGTTTTTTCTCCCTCTGACTCCAGGGCCAATGGAGAATCCCAGCAAAAGATCAGAAGGAGGGAGGAGAGAGGTCAGTGGATTTCTGCCCCCGATTTCCTTCAGGTCCCCTTAGGTTGTATTTGTGCCTTGACTGAATGTCCTTGTTTCTCTCAAGGCAGCTGACCCTATAAAACTCTCTCTCCTTCCAGGTTCTGGTAACTTCTCCCAGTCCTTATTCCTTCAATTCTAGGAGTGGTGACAGCTCCTATGCTTGCTAGGCCTGGGTTCCTGCACTATCCCTTGTGGTACCTCTAAGCTCTGCCAACATCTTTGTGATTAGTCTCTTTGCATACAAACCTCTTAGGAAAATCCTAATCTGAAGGTGCTGTTTCCTGTTGAGACCCTGACTAATGCACTGGTGTATTAGAAAGTTTTTAAAAAACGTTTCCAGTATCCGGCATCTTTGGTAGACATTTTTTAGTTTTAATAGTTTGTTTCTAGAAATTCTTGGATTTCCTACGTAGAAAATCATAACATCTTATAAATGGTGACCCTTTTGTTTCTTAAAGTACTTATAATTATACAATTTTAATTTCTGTTCTTTTTCTTTCTTATTCTCCTGGTTAAAGTTTCCACTAAAATCTTGAACAGAAGTAATTATAGTTGTCTCATTCCTGGCTTGAAAATGAATGCAACAGATGGTTCACCATTAAGAATTACATTTACTGTAGATCTGGGGTCAATACCATTTTATAAGTCAAGGAATTTTTCTTCTGAGTCTATTATTTTTTAAAATAATGACCAGATATTGAATTGCACTGAATGATTTACTACATTGTTTGAGATAATCATAAAGCTCCTTTCTTTTTCTTGTTCTGTTCTCCCTTGGGGTCCTGGCTCCATCCTGGTCATGCACATCAACGTCAAGGCCGTGGAGACCGTTCTTCCTGGGAGGGTAGGAATGGAGCCCTATAGTCCTCTTGGGTAAATCTTGGGCTTTTTGGAATCTTCCATGTGGAGCATTACAAGATGTTCATGAAGTCATCATTTTGATGTATTATTTTGCTTACAAAATATCTGATTTAAACAAAAAAAATCCTGACTTACTCAGGACCTCCTTTCTATTAGAGTAAGGAGAGGAAGTAATGAAGGGGGTGTTGAGGAGAGAAACCCCGTTCTGACACCCATACGTAATTTGCAGCAATCCCATGAAGCAGGTGTTGGGATGCTTAGTTTACAGATGAGGAAACTGAAGCTCAGAGAGAGGAAGTGCACTGCCCAGGGCAATGGAAGAGTGGGATCCTGAACCTCTGGCCCCCAATCTTGTGCTCGAAACAGAGAAGTGAGACCTGGGTCCCTCCTCCTATGAATGTACTTCTGCCTTTCTCTGACCCTTGGATCCTTAGCTCTAAGCATCTCTGAGTCTGGTCCTACCCTCCCCTTTCAGATCCCTAGCAGTTGTACAGTTTGGAAGCATTGTGGCCCTCTGATCCTGCTTCCAGACCCTCCTGGGTACACTGGGGGCTCTGCATCCTGTCAGTGCTGTGAGTATTGTGTATGTGTGTGTGTAGGGGGAGGATGGGGTCCGGGTTCCTCTCTGGAAAAGGGAGGGGAGCAGAGAGTGGGGTTCTGATTCTGCTTCTCTATAGACCAGGCTTGGTGCTGAGATGGGCAGGCACTTGCTGCTTCCTGGTCTGTTCCTGTACCTTCCCTTGACTGCAGGCTGGACAGCTTCTAACTGCCTGGTGACTGAAGGCTCCCGGCTGCCTCTGGTCTCCCGCTTCTTCCTGGTCTGCCCCTTGGACTCCAGCCTGCCCCTCCTTGCAGCATGCTACTCAGTGACTAATCTGACACAGGCCTTGGAGGCTGTGCCACAGAGCGTGGAGGGGCTCTGTCTTGCTGGTTCCACTTTGTTTCTGCACCCGGACGCCTTCTCCCACTTCCCTGGGCTCAAGGTCTTAGGGCTGAATCTGCGTCTCACCCAGCTCCTGCCAGGAGCTCTCCGGGGCTTGGGGCAGCTGAAGCAGCTCTTTTTCATAGGCCTCCGCACGAATCACCTCTTCCTACCTCCTGATGCCTTTGGCAACCTAAGCTCCCTCCAGCACCTTGCCTTCTTGGGCCCCTGCTTGGATGGAAACTTGGGTGTCCGGTTGCCTCCCGGTCTACAGCGGCTGGATGTCAAGAACAGTTGCCTTCAGAATGTAGGGAAATTGGCCAACATCTTCCCAGACCTGGTGCTTGGGTCCTCCTCTGGTGAAGCTTGGACTCTGGACATGTTGGACCTGTCATTCAACAATGGGCTGAAGATGGCCAGTCCTGGGGCCCTCCAGGGCCTCAAGCTGGGGACTTTGCGTCTGGACCACACAAAGATGGAGGCAGCTGCAGTGGTGGGACTGGGGCTGCAGAGACTGGACACTCTGTCTGTGATAAAGACTGACACGGCTGAGCTGCCTGCCAGGGCAGTTGCCCACTTTGAGCTACAGGAGCTGAATTTGGGATCCACTCTGATAGGGCACATAGCTCTGGAGGCCCTGGCTTCCTGCTACAGCCTAAGGCGCTTGGGTCTTGAAAGCAGTGGCCTGACTGACCTGCCACCAGGTTTCCTGGCTGCCATGCCCAGGCTTCAGAGACTGAACCTGTCCAGCAACCAACTGCGGAGTGCCATGCTGTGCACGAATGAGACAGGGGCTGTGTCAGGACTGTGGGCCCTGGATCTGTCAAAGAATGGGCTGCAAACCCTGTCCCCAGCCACCTTCTCCTGTTTGCCCCATCTACGGGAGCTGCTACTTCAGGGAAACCAGCTGGTTTGTCTGGAGGGCCAGGTATTCCAGGGCTTAAGGAGGCTGGAGATGTTGGACTTGGGCGGGAATCCACTGGTAGCCCTGGGCGATGGCTGGTTGGCTCCTCTGCCTGCACTGACCACCCTAAACCTGTTGGATACCCGCATGGTGTTGAGCCCAGGCTGGGACTTCCAGGGCCCAGAGAGTCTGCACAACTTGAGCCTGCAGCTCCCCTCTGGCCCTTCCAGGGTAGCATTGTCCCTGCCCATGAGGCTGAGGAGCTTGGAGCTTCATGCAGCCTCAGGCAGGGAGCATTGGAAGCTGGCTTCTAACGTTTTTCCAGTCTTGCAGACCCTGACTCTAAAAGGCTGGGGACTGCAGCTGGGGACCCAGAATGTCTCCGAGATCTTCCCTGCCCTTCTCCAACTCTCCCTGCTTGGCAATAGCTTGGAGGCCCTCTGCTCCCAGGACACCTCTAGCTTCTTCCTCTGGCAACTCCCTAGGCTCCAGTATCTGAGGGTATGGGGGGACAGGCACAGCCCTAGGCCCTGCTGCATCACAGGGCTTCCCAGCCTACGGGAGCTGAAGCTGCAGGCACTGCAATCCCGAGCCCAGCCACGCCCAGTGCGGCTTGAGGAGCTGGTGGGTGAGCTGCCCAGGCTTGAGGTGCTGCATCTGGCCCAAACGGGGTTGGAGACACTCTCTGCCGCTGCTTTCCAGGGCCTGGGAAGTCTCCAGGTCTTAGTGCTAGACTGGGAGACAGGACTGGTGCTGGATGGCAGCCTCCAGGAGCATAGTCCCCAGATGCCCCAGTACATGTATATTCTGACTGCATCCTTGGCCTGCCAGTGTGCCAATGCCTGGGTGGGTCCTTGGCTTGAGCGGTCCCCCAGGACATACATACACATAAATTCAAATCAGCTGTGCCAGCCAGAACCTGGGGGCCGCTCCAAGAATCCCCTTTTCCCCTTTCTCCAGAGCCACTGCCCCAAGACTTCAGGGTTGGGACTCTTTTTGGGCAGCTTCGCCTTGCTGCTTCTGCTAATCTCTTTGCCCCTTCTACAGGAAGCCAGGAACTCCTGGATCCTCTACCTCCAGGCCTTGTTCAGGGCTTGGCTTCAGGGCCTGAGGGGTCGGAGGGATGAAGGCCACAGGTTCCTCTATGATGTGTTTGTGTCGCACTGCAGGCAAGACCAGGGCTGGGTGGTGTGGGAGCTGCTGCCTGCTCTGGAGGGCTGCCCTCCAGCTGGCTGGGGGCTGCGCCTCTGCCTCCCTGAGAGGGATTTTGAGCCAGGCAAGGACGTGACTGACAATGTGGCAGAGAACATGGCAAGCAGCCGGGTTGTACTCTGCGTGCTGAGTCGCCAGGCCCTGAACACCCCACGCTGCCGCCTGGAGCTCCGCCTTGCCACCTCCCTCCTGCTGGCTGCCCCCCGGCCCCCAGTGCTGCTGCTGGTCTTCCTGGAGCCTGTCTCCCGCCACCAGCTCCCCCGCTACCATAGACTGGCCAGGCTGCTCCGCAGAGGAGACTACTGTGTGTGGCCCAAGGAAGAAGAAAGAAAGGACGAGTTCTGGGCTTGGCTGGGGAGCAGGCTGGGGCAGCCTGGGTTGGGCTAGAGTGGGTGCATGTGGGTTGGAGGGTGGGGATATGAAAAACAAGCCAGCCTGGTAGGAAGAGAGTGGGTATGTGTGGGTGCATGAGACCGAACTCAGCTTCTGGTGGGCGGTGGGGTGCTGCCTGTGTAGGGAGGATCAACCAGTGGCTTTGGGAACACAGGCTTTGGGAAGGCTCTGGAGGCTGAATGAGAACATTTGGGAGATGGCAAGTGGCCAGGGGTATGTGATGTGATCTCAAGATCTCTAAATCCTCAGTAAATTTACTAAATCCATGAGATGCTTGACATAGTTGGACTTTTTGATGGAAACCCACCTGATGCAGAAGGCGAAGGGGCTGGGGTCATGCAAACTGTAGCCCAGAGGAAATAAAGTTAGGAATTCATGGAGAGCACGGGGAAGGAAGGAGGCTCTAAGCACTCCTAAGCTGTGGCACGGGGTCCAGGTCAAGTTCAACCAAATCTTCAAGGGGCAGAAGAGCTCCTTTTGCCATCTGGGTTATAGAGGACTACGACAGCTGAGGACCAAAAAGCTGGGATGCTGTCCAGGAGGCAGCAGACTGATCGCCTGTTCCCTTGATAAAAACACGAAGGCATGGTCATATCTTTCATCCTGTTTGAGCCTCACAGCAACACTGGGAGGTGGCACCCACTCCCTTGGTGCTCTGTGCTCTAGCTATACTAGACTACTTGTCGCTCCCAGAACACCATGTGCTCTTGCCTCTGGGCCTTTGCACATGCTGCTCATTTACCCAAAAACACCCTTTCTCCCAATTTCTTTTCTTTGGGGAACTACTATGTATCCTTTAAGATTCAGCTCAGTCCTCAATTTCTCCAGAAGCCTTTCCTGACCTCCCAGCCTGGGTAAGATGCTGCCTCTGGGTTCCCGCAACTTCCTGCACTTACCTTCCTCAAAGTACTGATCACAGTGTACGGGTCCTCACTGGTCTAGGGGTCCTGAGAGCAATGGTCTCCAAAGGGGGGTGCACAAGACAAGCCACTGGGGTTTAGGAAGAAAATGTTAAAACTTTTATTCCTATTTTGTTTTAAGTCTCACTTTATTCTGAAGCTAGACTGCCTGCTTTTTAGCCATTATGGCTTTGTTATGTTCCTTAGCCCCTGTACCTCAGTTTCCTCTTCTGTAATGTGGGATAGTATTAGACTCCCTCTCAAAGGGTTTTGTGAGGATTAAATGAGATAATATGTATAAAGCACTAAGAGCAGGACCTAGTAATGCATTGTAAATGTTCAATAAAAGTTAGCTTTTCATGTAATTATATATGTACTATGTGTATATCATTTATAAGTAAATAAATATACACATGTTGGGGGTGTGTGCTCAAAAACGTTTTACTAATAGGAAACATTACAAATTTACTAATAGGAAACTTGATCAGGAAAGTTTGGAGATCAGGTCCTGGGACAGGGACCAGGTTTGCTTCATCTCTGCATCCTTAGAACCTAGCGCTGGCCCAGCACAGAGAGGGTCTTGACAGACAACTGTGGACAGAAAAAAATCTTGGTGGATGCTGAAGCAGAGAACTGGGGTCTGGTTCAGTCTCTGTTGCTTATTTTTATATGACACTGGGCGGGGCACTTGGCCTCTTGGGGCCTTAGTTTTCCTCTCCCGTAAATTGCCAGGCTTTAATTAGACAAAGGCTAAAGGAAACCATGGAACAAGTCCAGGCTGGATTTAGGGCAAGGGGCGCCCTCTTGTGTCCTAATGGTGTCCTTCTCTCTGTGCCTCCTCACCTCCATTCCTCCTCTTCAGGGTAGATGATCCTGAAGTGGACGTCCTTACCTGACCCTGCAAAGCTGCCTTTCCAGCTTCAGATCCTAACATTCTCTTCCATGTCTCCAGCATCCCAGCACCCCACACTGCCACAATATCTCTCTCCCCACTCAATCCCCTCCTCCACCAGCGATCTTTTCCTGACGCAGTGTGGGGCTGAGAAGAGAACTTTGGAGTCACAAGCCCAGTGGTTCAAATGCCAGCCTTGGCACTTATTAGCTGTGTGATCTTGAACAGGTCACTTCATATCTCTAAGCTCCCACTTCCTCCTGGTAAACTGAGGGTAATAATAACAACCTCATAGGGCTGTTGTGAGACTTCAGTCACAAAGAGTTCTTAGAGGTTGGAATTACATTCAGTGAGTAAAATCACATGAGATATTACTATAAATAAGTCGAAACGTTTCACAGAGGGGAAGGACTTTGAACTGGGTCTTTAAAACTAAGACACAGAATTCCTCTAATTTTAACAACAGCCAACATGTATTGAGCACTTGCTGTATGTCAGGTACAATTTTCCCAAAGTCTCATAACCATCAGTAAAAATAATAATAGCTAACAATTAGTAAAGTCTTTCTGCCAGACATGTGCCAAGCTCTTTACATGCTTTTCCCCATTTATTCCTCTCCACAACCCTATCAGGTAGACGCCATTATTATATTCCCATTTTACAGATGAGGAAACTGAGGCATAAAGAGAGCAAGTAATTTGCCCAAAGTTTCATGACTAGTGAGTGGCAAGGCCTACATCCTGCATTTGAAAGTAAGAAGTTTCAGACACAAGCAGCTTGACTATAGAGACCAAGCTTTACCTGCATTATCTCATTCGATCTTCACAAGTCCCTGCAATGTAGGTTTGATTGTATTATCTGCATTTTACAGACGAAAAAACTTAAGACAAAAGAGATGGAGTAAGTCATTCACGGCCCCCCAGCTAGGAAGTAGTTGGGCTGGGATTTGGATCCATGTCTGACTACAAAACCCACATTCTCAACCCCATATTAGATTGCTCATACCCCAAAGTAGTCACAATGGTACAAAGCAACTGCATTTATATTAATATTATTCTGATTATTATCATCCAATAATGATTAACATTCTTCCAACACTCACCCAAGTGCCAAGCTCTGTACTAACTGATTTACATAATAATAGCTAACATTCCCTGTGTATTATTAGGACCCAGGCCCTGAGCTAATCGTCTTAGCTGTATTATCTCACTGAAGCCTCACAAAAACCCGGCAACACGGATGCTATTATTATTTTCATTTCACAAGTGAAGAAAGCGAGGGTCACAATTGATCCAAAGTCACTCAGCTTAGCGGTGTGCTGGAAAATGAACCTACAATTGTCCGACTCTCTCCTGCCCACCAGCCTGGTCACCTCTAGTCACCCTCTTTATTTCTTATCATTTCTGCTTTGATCTCTCCCGGGTCTGCGGCTCTCGCTCCTCCCCTTCCACAGGCCCCGCCCCTTCGGCTTGAGTGTCCGCCCACTGAGCGGTGCCGTTATCCCAGAGCCTGAGGAAAGGACCGGTTCGCAACAGGCCCCGCCCCAGGCTTAGAAACCTGTTCCGATTTGTTCCGGTGCCGGGGACCGGGAGAAGATGACGCATCTATTGGCTGATGTCATCTGAAAGGCAGCAAACGGAAGGGGGCCACCGGCACTCGCGCGGTTCCTTCTGGGAGTTGTAGTCTCAGACGCTCCATTCCCGGGGTGGCGCCGTTCGGACTCCGCGTCCCAGCATTCCCTGCGCGAACCCTGGAGCACTTCCGCCCTGTTGTGAAGTGGGTGTCTCGGTGGGTGAGTCCGGGTGGCGGAGCGGGGGCAGCTGAGACTCAGGCTCTGGGCTGGAGGCTTAGGAGGTGGTGGTGTCACAGGGGGCCGGGGAAGGTGAGAGGGGAGAAAGAAGCCTGTATGTGGGGGTGGGTTGTGAGGGGCGGTCAGAGGATGAAGGGTCTGGAGATGGGAAGGGTCAGAGAGGGGTCGGGGATGAGGAGGGAGATAGGGGGCCCTGGGAGTGAGGGGGGTCTTAGAAAGATCTGTAGGTGAGGAGACCGAGAGAGGTTCTGGAGGTGGGAGAGTCGTAGAAGGGTCTGGAGGACACAGAGGGAAGGATAGAGGGTTCTGGGGCCCTGGCAAGAAGTGAAGGTAAGAGGGCCTGAGCTTGAAGCCTGACCTGAAAAATAGTGTTCCAGCCTCTACCCGCCCATCTAGAATAAACATATCTAATTTGATACCACCTAACACTTTCTCTAATGGTTATGACCTCTGGAACCCACTGGGTGGGACTGGCTATTGTGTTTGGCCCCAAACCTGCACCTCTTTCCTTGTGCCTGATGGAGGTGAGTGGCACCATCATCCACTTTTCCCAGATGCCCTCTGATTCCTCTTGCATTCTTCCACATCCAGGGATCTTCAAGTCTTAAATTTCCCTAATGTGTCTTAAATCTGCCCCTTCCTTGTCAGGGTTTTTGTTGAAGCCTCCACCCTTTCACCTCCGCCTGGACAAACATGTTATAGCTAGTGTGATCTATTTAACCCACAAATCTGATTGTGCCATCTGCTTAAAAATCTTCATTGGCTGCCATCACCCACAGAATTAAGTTCAAACACCTTAGCCTGACATTCAAGACTCTTCATAACCTCCCTTGTGTCCTCATCTTCGTGGACTGCACACTCCAGGGCTGTCAAGGTTTTCCCCATTTCTTGGGGAGGCTGTTTGGTTTTCCACTGTTATATATGCTGTTCTCTCTGTTGAGAATACATCTTTTCCTCCCATTCTCTGCCAAGAGAACCATTCATTCTTCAAGAACCAACTCAAATGTTACTTTGTTCAATTCTCTTACGCAGATTAAATCACCCCCTGACCCCCAGGTCCTACAGACCTCTTTTACTGCGTTTACCACATTTGATGGTAATTATCCATGACTTTTTTTTTTTTTTTTTGGTCTCTTCCGCTAGACTGTGAGCATCTCCAGGACAGGGACAGTTTCTGAGTCACCTCCGTTTCCCCATTGCCCAGCGCAGAGTAGTAAATACTTGATGTAAATCAAGTCAATCGGTAAATATGTGATGAATGCGTGAATAAAGACCGTCCAGGGTGAGCTTTGCTATAGCAGGCTTGAGGACTGCTACTTCCAGTGGATTTCCAGGGGCATGGGCTTTAGTCTTCTCCTGCCTGTCAGGGCTGTCTTTGCTGGAAGCTGATTCACTGCCTATGGGAGTTTAAGCCAGGAGTGGCAA